TTTAACTTATGAGCAACGACAACAAAAAGAAACAATAATAATAAAGTGAAAGATAAAATCATGAAAAATGCCTGGTCAGTTTTTTTTAAGTGCAGTGTAAGACAAAAAAAAAAAAAAGATAAAATTATTGTGCAGTTGAAACAACTGTGAGGTTAGGTTCACTTTCCGAAGCAATTTAGAGCCTGAATTAGTTCATTTGTCCACTTCTGCCTGTGAAATGACAGAACTGCACTGATCCAGAAACAGGTGCAACCAGCTCATTTCAGTAATACCCAAAGTAAATTAGCACAGCCTTGTAATGAAGCCGACGTGCTGATAATCAGAAAGCTGTAAATTAGCAGCAGCTTGTTGCTTCTGAGCATCAACCCTGATCACCTGTGCAGGTATTTAAGCTTCACATCAGACACCAGGTTAACTTTGGTAAATAAACTCCTAAATGAGTGACTTCATGCTTTAGATTGACTTTATTTAGTGGAGGTGTTTTATGCACAAGGTTTAAAGAAAAGATAAAAAAAGAAAGATCGCGCTTTTTCCCCCATTTGTTTCTGCATGAACTAATATTGGAGAAATAATAAATATACATTAATTGTGTAGACAAGGCCTGCTTTAACTGATCTTTAATTATGATTTTAGTGCAGAAAGTTTATTTTTTTCATAGTTTTCTTTCTTCCACAACACATGAGCTACAACCAGGGTTCCTACAGCTTAAGGGAAGTTAAAATTATGACTTTTTAAGTATGTTTTGTGCCWCTTAAAATGAAATGTAAGACCAAATTCACAATAAACACAAATATAAAAGACCCAATTAGCTACAACTTTAGCACAATGTTTATTTTAACACAAAAAATTAGCTGCAAGAAGCATTCAGTAAATTATTAAAAAGAACATAAATATTACCCATTATTTTTAACATTTGAGAAGAATTACAACCATCCTACTTGTAATGTGTTTACATTTTTAAGAAACCTGAAAGATTGATTTAAGACATTTTAAGGCTAATTAAGTCCTTATTTTTGGACTTTTTATGACATTTTAAGGATCTCTGCAGAAACGTTATTCTGATAAAACATGAAACCAACAGGTGATTGCAAACTTTCCACACATTTTTGCAAACATTTAATTTTCTCCCCGACTCTTCTCATCACTCACATCAGCAGCTGAGTGCAGAGTTCAGAGGAACCCCAGTTTTCACAATGTAACACGCGACCCGTTTGCACTTTTCATCCTTTTGGTAAACAGCCCTGCTTCCCTCTGCGTTCCCACACAAAGACAAGTGAGCCTGACGGAGAAAATAATAGAGGGTTTGAAATGAGTTGAAGCCAATGTCATGTCCTCCATCTTCGTGTCTGCGGCGGGTTTGCGCAGCAGCGGCGTGACGGAGGAACACTTTCTGTCTGACAGCTGCAATAATGTTGAGCAAATTCAAAAGCTGCGGAGCTCCTGGTGCAGGTGAGAGGAAGAGGCCATTAGGCAGCATAATCAGACACCAGACTGACGCTGACGGCTTCCTGATCAAAAGGTTGCTCGGGTGTCAGCAAACAGTGGCTGCTTACACATCTGTCAGATAGAAAGCTCAGGATTTGTTTGAAGGCAGCTTTTTAGACATCGACTCAAACTCTTGAACTTTATTTAACTTTTAAAATGTTCAGGTAAAAATAAATAGAAATACTGAGATAAAAGAGAAAGTGGCAGCTGCTGAGGTGGATTATAGACTCTTTTCAAGTAGACCCCATCTATACTACTCTGAATATTTTCTAAATGACATATTTTTCTGTTAATATTTTTCATCCCAATACATTATGTAAACTAATATAAACACCAGCTTTAGACGGTGCGAATATCCAAAAGAAGGACTATACTGCATAGTGGTAGCATGCATGACCTCGGCACGTACAAAGCACCAATACACCAGAACTCAGAATTCACCAGAACCTATTAGTTGTTTTGGGTGGGGGTGGAGCTAATTGTTGGGGCTGATAGATATCTCCTCATCAGAGCTAAACAACAAAAATATCTGAAGCTCCTAGGTTGAATAGTTTTTGAGTTATAAGCATGTTTGTATGTCCAGACACCCCTTCCACCCGCTTCGGATGTYATCATCTATGAAATGGGCGTTATTAGTCCCCTAGAATGGCTTCAGAATGTCATCTGGTTAGTATGAGGCATAAAGCCCCTTTCTGGTTAATATGAGGCATAAACAATCTGGTTAATATGARGCTTAAAGCCACCAAGGTTAACCTTAGAGCAGATGACATGGTTAGCATTAACCTCCAACAAAAGTATATTGTGGTCTCTTGATGGGGCAATGGGTAGAGTGTGGGAGACCAGGGTTTGACTCCAACGCGGACACAAAAATTTATTACAATATCTTTTGGTTATTTACACATTCATTGTCATAAATATATTAACCCACTAGGGGGCACTGTCAGGACAGTCTGAAGCCTAGAAGACACAGTAGGGACCCTCTGAAACCATTGTATGGGACTGATAACACTTAATAACGTCCATTTCATGGACTGATAACATCGGAATCCCCTGCCCCTTCTTAGATGGAGCCCCCTCCTCAAATATGGGGTCTATCATAAAGCCAATGGCTGGTGCAGTATAGGTCGGACACATCTACATTCCTACCAAATTTCATGGTTATGCAGTCGTTTCTGTGATATGGTTGACCTAAAATCACTGAAAAAAAACTGTATGAAAACAATATGACCCACGCTTTGGGACGGTTCTTAGCTCAGCTAAATATTCTCCCAAAACCTTTTTTTCCTCCTTTATTCACAGCTTTCTCTTAATTGTTGAAGTTTTCGTTTTCAAACTCTGTCATTGCTGTTCATTGCCCTGCCATCAAAACTCACTGTGCATTGTTTCCGCTGGTTTCTTGAATTTATTTGCATGAGTTTCTCCAGAGCTCAGATGTTTCAAACCAAAAGTTACATGAAAATAATTAAAAATAAAAATTATAAAGCTCCTTTTTTGACATTTACAGTATTGGTACCCTAAATAAATGTCCAAACTAAAATATAAAAGCCCACTTTAAATGATTGCAATATTTATTACCAATCCCCATGTCTGATTAACATGATGGAATTTAAAGTTCATTTTTTTTAGAATGACATATTGAGACCCTGCTAAGCAAATTGAACTTATGCAGAATTAAAGTTCACTCAATATGTTGGCAGCGGAGCAGAGCAGATAGAAAAATATTAAAAAAGCAGCACGTGTGGCGTTAGAACAGAGGAGGAGGTGYGTAATCTTACCATCGTCTCCTGATCCCGAGCCAGCATCTGCAGGAGAGAACAAACACGGTTATTAACCACAGGCTCCTGCAGCCACAGACATTAGCGTGTGTCTGCATATGTAAGTGTGTGTGTTTGTGTGTGGGCTTGTTTGATTAGAAGCTTGTGGTTGTGTGTTGAGAGGAGACAGATACACTTCGTGTTGTTGTGGGTGTGGCAGGGCGAGATGAGATGTCTCTAAAGATAGAGCAGAAACTAATACCGCAGCTCAGTTTCCCAACAAGAAAAAAACACAGAGGAGAGGAAGGATGGTGCTGAGACGGAGCGATAGATGGGGTGCCGTTTATAAAGGTACACAGTCAAAAATTACCACCAAATTTTAGTTTTATTTAGCCTTTAATCAGAAAAAGAGAGCAGATTTATTTTTCAAAGTCAGTTTTTCACCAACGGTTCATTCATTTTATAAATGTCATAGTTTATAAACTAAATATTTAACTTACAAATTAAATATTTAGTTAACAAGCTATATATTTAACTTGTGACTTAAATATTTAGTTTTGAGCTAAATATTTAGGTTACAACTTAAATATTTAGCTAGCAACTTAAATATTTAGCTTGCCACCTAAATATTTAGGTAGCTAGCTAAATATTTAAGTTGCTAGCTAAATATTTAAGTTGCAAGCTAAATATTTAGGTAGCTAGCTGAACATTTAAGTTAAATATTTAGGTAGTTAGCTAAATATTTAACTTGCTAGCTAAATATTGAAGTTGATAGCTAAATATTTAAGTTGCAACCTAAATATTTAGGTAGCTAGCTAAATATTTAAGTTGCTAGCTAAATATTTAAGTTGCAAGCTAAATATTTAGCTCAAAACTAAATATTTAAGTCTCAAGTTAAATATTTAGCTTGTTAACTTAATATTTAATTTGTAAGTTAAATATTTAGTTTATAAACTATGACATTTATAAATGTATGAATCAYATGGTGAAAAACTGACTTTGAAAAATAAATCTGTTCTTTGTTTTCTTATAAAAAGGCTAAATAAAACAAAAATATTGGTGGTAATTTTTGACTGTGTAACTTTACAAATGGCACCCCATCCAGATTCTGTCTTTGAGCATTTCCCTCCTTTTACAGCAGCAACAGGACCGTGGGAAGATGCTCGCCGTTTCCAGCTGCAAATTTGTTTGTGTCTCAGTGAATCCTTTTCCACGGCTTTGCCCGCTAAATCTATGTAAAGCCCCCTCAAACACACCGAGCTTACTGAGCTGTTCAACAATACAGCTGTGAAAGGGATACTCACGAGCACTTCGGAGCTCCGTGTAACTCGATCTGCCACATAAAGTGATCTGCTAAAGCGAGCGGTGCCAGAGAGCAGGAGCACTCGGGCCCCTCGGAGGACAGTAAGGGGATAAGAGCTCGGCTTCRAATGAAAGACCCGTAGGAGATGGGTTTAGAAGAAGAGGTGCCCAAAGTGGTGGGGTCATCTCATCTCCGTCGCACATTTGGAATCTGAGCAGATACCYGACACTGATACACGCACTGTGCACGGTTCGAATCGATAAAATACATTTTTAACAACACGTCTGCTTCATGATGAGGGTTTGACCGGCAGCAGATGATCTGACGGGTCGGGGGGGAGACCACATCCTAAAACAACCAGTTAGATCCTGAGCAGAAAGGATGAAGTGAAGCTCACTCCAAAATTAAATCTCTAATTGTCAGATTTACTGTAATTTAGTTGAAGTGGTTACAGCCAATGGGCACAAATCATAAAAAAATATTAATTAATGCATTGCAGCTTTGAATGTCCCAGTTCCTTTCATCCCTCAACAAATGGTGTCTTTGAAGAGACTCATCTGAAGAAAAATACGTTTTCTTGTTTTCATCAGTAAACAGCAGACATGGTTAAACCACTTTGTGGTGATTCATAGTTTTTACCTTTGTTCGTTTTATCCGTCTGCKCTTTCAGAATGAGGATTGGACAAAGGATTTCTTATTTTTGCTGACATTATTGGAACATATCTAATGGTATTGTGCTCTTTGGATGCAAAACTTTTAAATTCTCCTTTTTATTGCTCATATTGTGTTTCGAGATATATTTTTGCTCGGCCTTTTAGTATACCTGTGTCATTAAATATTAGTATTAACAAAAATAAAAACATTTGTCCTAATTTGGAATAAATTCAGAGCAGTGTTGTCTGTGTAACATCAAATATCAATAGAAGTTGTTTTAACATAACACTAAAAAAATGTCCTGATGCATCTCAGTACTGGGTTAAAATTAAAGCCCAGGAAGTCCAACATTTCACTGATCACATCAACTCTTTGGATGAATATATAAAGTTCACACAAGAGGATGTAAAAAATGGCAGGTTGGCGTTCCTGGATTGCGATGTTTCGGATGGAGGACGGTTGGAAACTGGCGTGGTTATTCCAGTGGTTATTCCGTATGTTGCGGGTGTTTCGGAGAAACTGAGACGTTTATTTTCTAAACATGATGTCCCAGTGGCTTTCAAACCCCTAAACACATTACGGCAAAGGCTGGTTCACCAAAAGATCCGGATCCCCGGCACAAACAGAGCAAT